CTATGTCCTCGTAGCTCACTTGGTTGGGCTGCTTGGGTTGAACGAGGGCGCAGACGATGTCATAAGTCTGTTCCCCGCACAGCGTTAGCAGATGAGCACGTTTCTTCGATGCGTCCGTAATCTCGTTAGCCTCGAAGAAGAACTGTAGCCTCCCATACCAGGATCTCCAGGAGCTGGGACTGCCGCTGAATTCGGGTAGCCGACCGAAGTCGGGCGTCGCCATGTTATTTCCTTGACGTCGGTGGAGTGCCGATGAGTCGATCCAGTCTTCCTCGTCGCCAACTGTTACGTCTGTACAGCCGCTTGTGACTGTAGACGATTTATTAAAGGACAGGAAACGTGAACAAGTTCAAAAGCGTAGCCCAGGCGTTGGAGTCATTCCTGGCCAGCGTTCGACGCCAGGCTCGCGCTCGTGCCACAGCGCCAGTGCCCCGCGCGCACTTCGTTAATGTCGTCTTCTAAGGCGACATGTCAGACGTTATAATAAAACGAAAGCATAGGTGGGGCAGCATGACTCATAAGTAATCCTTCCACTGGGTATCTGTCATAAAAATTTCCTGCCTCGAACCATCGGAGAAGAAACATAAGAATTTCAGGTCAATAGATAGGTTCGGCCTGTACTCTCAGTGCATGGTCTTCATCCCGTTTGAACCAAACATGAACGCCTACCAACTCGCTCAACTTTCTTTTCCACTTGAGGAACTTTGTAAATAAGAACGTAAATCCATGATGACGTCAGGCCTGTACTTCAATTTGCCCTCCTGTCTGGGATTCATTTCACAACGTGCATGTTCTTACAATTAAGCATGTTGAGTTTAATTGAGTAGACTGCGTGCATATTTATCTCAGATTTGTACTTCGTACATATATATCTCAAAGCTTTTGAGAGGAGGAGAGAGACCTTAAGCTGAAACCTTCAGGGGACCGAAAAGATAACCTTAGACCGAAACTATTCTATTCAATGCATAACAAGTAAACAGGAGTCAATACTTCAGATTACGCACAACCAGTGCACCTTAAGTCCTCCTGTTTGGATCACAAACTTAATGTTTGAATATACACCCTCAAAACTAATCTTTAACAGTGAGAGTCATAATGAAATCAAAACAAGGGTGCCGTATTTGTCCACCACCACTCCTGCAACTGTTGTCCATAACCGCTATCGGGGAAAAAATTAAACAAAAATACCCAGGACATGAGAAAGGAGATGACAAGAACTTGAAGAACTACAGGCCGATCAGCTTGCTCTCTGTAGTATACAAACTATTTACAAAGGTAATTGCTAACAGAGTAAAGAAAACATTAGAATTCAATCAACCAAAGGAACAAGTAGGATTTCGAACCGGCTACTCAACAATCGACCACATTCATACTATCAATCAGGTAATAGAGAAATGCTCAGAATATAACCAACCACTATACATAGCCTTCATAAATTACGAGAAGGCGTTTGATTCAGTAGAAATATCAGCCGTCATGCAGACACTGCGGAATCAGGGCGTCGATGAAGTATATATAAACATCCTGGAAGAAATCTACAGGGGATCAACTGCTACCATAGTGCTTCATAAAGAAAGCAACAGAATACCAATAAAGAAGGGTGTAAGGCAGGGGGACACAATCTTCCCAATGCTATTTACCGCGTGCTTACAGGAGGCTTTCAGAAGCCTATAATGGGAACAGTTAGGGATAAGATTTAATGGAGAGTACCTTAGTAACCTGAGCTTCGCCGATGACATTGCATTGCTGAGTAACTCAGGGGACGAATTGCAACTCATGATTACGGAGTTAGACAAGGAGAGCAGAAATGTGGGTCGTAAAATAAATCTACAGAAAATGAAAGTAATGTACAACAATCTCGGGAAAGAGCAGCGCTTCGAGATAAGTAATAGTGCACTTCAAGTTGTAGAAGACTATGTCTACTTAGGGCAGGTAATAACCGTGGAGCCGAACCACGAGATTGAAGTAACTAGAAGAATAAGAATGTGGTGGAGCACATTTGGCAAGCACTCTCAAATTATGACAGGTAGATTGCCACTATCCCTCAAGAGGAAGGTATATAACAGCTGTATCTTGCCGGTACTTAGCTACGGAGCAGAGACCTGGAGACTTACAAAGAGGGTTCGGCTTAAATTGAGGACGACGCAGCGAGCAATGGAAATAAATATGGTAGGTGTAACCTTAAGAGACAAGAAGAGAGCAGAGTAGATTAGGGAACAAACGGGGGCTAAGGATATCATAGCTGAAATCAAGAAGAAGAAATGGACATGGGCCGGGCATGTAGCACGTAGACAGGATAACCGCTGGTCCTTAAGGGTGACTAACTGGATTCCCTGAGAATGCAAGCGGGTTAGGGGGAGACAGAAGGTTAGGTGGGCAGATGAGATTAAGAAGTTTGCGGGTATAAATTGGCAGCAGCAAGCACAGGACCGGGTTAACTGGCGGAACATGGGAGAGGCCTTTGTCCTGCAGTGGACGTAGCCAGGCTGATGATAATGATGATGATGATGATGATGATGATGATGGTGGTGGTGGTGGTGGTGGTGATGATGATGATGATTATGACCGAGGACCTGATAAGGTTCGAACCTGTTTCCTCTCCCTAGCAGCCCAGGGTTCTACACCACTAAGCTCCGGCGTTTTTTTAAGGGGCGAAGCTTCTTAGGGTCGAGTCATGTCCGCCGTCATCCCTCGATAATAACAACGATGACGATGACGCTGATGAAGAACAAGCGCGTTCCAGACCACACATTCTCTTTCTGTCATCACGGCGCAGCACATGCAGTGCATCCACCATATGCCATGACGCTGATGGCTATGAAGATCACAGACAACGACTGACTTGTTCAGTGTATGACGTCTCGATATGCTCTGTGAAGCATTTCGTATCACTGGAAACAACTAACAACCACCAGGGAAACGTGTACAGACCTCGTCTTTGCCAACTTCGGGCTAGATGCGATACCCCAAAGCAGTAATAATGAAGGCTAAACGAAATTCGCAACTCGACACAACATACCAGTTATGACCAAGAAACATTGTATATAACTGTACACCGCTTTTTCACTCATTCACATGCGGGAGTGGTCAAGGTCGTGGGTGATTTACGGTAACACAGAACGATCCCACTGCTTGACATCGTTTATAAGTCGGGATTTTTTTTTATTGGAACTATGTTGCAAACTGACCCTGTTCAGGTTTCATGTCGAGTAAGGAATCACGTTAGCATGTGTGAGAAAGCGTTATAGAACAATAATGTAACAACGAGATGTACAACAATGCGAACTTCGTAACTAGTCGGTAGTTCATTGCTCCAACCCATTGAATGAAGTTATTATGCCTCGGGGCAGACTTTCAAAATAAAAAAAAACAGCCTCAGACATTATTCTTCATAGTTTTCACTCACACAATTAAGAAAGTGCACGTGATGGTTTCAAGTGTGCTCTGGGTAATATGCTTTTCCGAAGAATGATAAATTATGGCATAGCGAATGAAATGGAAAAAAAAAACTTGATTTTTGTCTTGCAGGACACACAAAGCGCGTAGCGGCGGCGTGTCATATAATTTTGATCTAGTGGGTACCATGCAAGTGTGATTGTAGTAGTTGCCACGAAGGTGTTGTAAAAGGGCTCTAGGTAGGAGGCTCTTTCAGCTTCCGCCGTGACAGTGCTGTGCGTAGCACGCAGGCCTGGCGCTTTTTTATATAAATATACAGGGTGTCCCACATAACTTGAGCCAAGAATTTGAAAATGAAAGACACTTCAGCGGCGAATCGAACCAAACGCGTAGTACTCGCACTAGCCTGTAGGTAATCAGGCTATTTTCATTTATCCCCTTAATATTTACTTAATAATTTTAATCACCTATTTTTTTTATTTCTGGGCTGGAAACCCGAAATATGAACACTGAGATGTAGAGCACTTTCAGAAAACACTGACTGAATTGTTTCCGGCACAATACGTCTAGCGCTGTTATTTTTTTCTGTGTCGTAAAGAAAGCTAGCCTATAGCAGCACTACAGAAGTGCGCTCCATCGCGGTCCGTCACACGGCTTCTTTTCACATTTCGCGGGCTTTTTTTACAACGTGGAAAAAACAACAGCGCGAGACGTACCGCACAGGAAACAATTGAGTCGGTGGTCTCTCAAAGTGCTCTACATCTCAGTATTCATATTTTGTGTTTCCACCTCATAAATAAAAAATAGGTAGTTAGGAAATAATTAATTAATTAGTATCGGGAGATATAAAAAGTTGCCTGAGTACCTACAGGCTAGTGTGAGCAGTATGCGTTTGGTTCGATTCACCTCCTAAGCGCCTTTCACTTTCAAATTCCTGGCTCAAGTTATGTGGGACACCATGTATATACATTCTCCCCCCCCCTCCCCCCAAAAAAACAATTTGCAAATAAAACATCTTACCACCCGATTCGGTTCACTGTGAGACTTCGAATTCACGCAACGAAGGACTGTGCCCCACGTATGAGACCTGCGGTTCTCTTACTGAAAACAAGGTTCTGCAATGGCAGGGTGTTCCGCAAGTCTATTTTGCGTGCTTATATCAAGAGAGCTGAGTCTACTGAGCGTCAAGACACTGTTTGCAGAAGTAACTATCTTTCAATAGTCTGGCCAACTGCGTCGCAGGAAAGCTAGCTTTGCACTTAAGACAAGGGGCCATTGGAAGGAAGAACAACAAGAGAAAAGGCAGGGAGGTTAACCAGGTGCATGGCCCGTTTGCTACCCTACGCTGAGGGAATGGGAAAGGGGAGTGTAAAGATGAGAAAGAAAGAAAAGGAATAAACTCTAATGCCCAAATAAAGGCCAGCGGGTAACGTTCCAAACAAATAAATAATTGAATTAATTGAAAATAACTGCGAAGACTCCATATATTTTCATTGTTCCTGGGATAAGAGTAGTCTATTTAAGAGTCACCCCATCACGCATTGCCTGTCCACAAATTAACAGGTACTGCGAAGATCGTCGTCACCGAGGGACAACGAGCTACGATGCACTGTCCGCCGACCAAAGACAAAGAGGTGGTTCTCATACAGTGGTTCAAGGAAGACAACAAAGGCCCCATATATGAGTACCAGGTACTGCTTCACGAAAACTGGGCGCATTTAGAGGTGAGTGTTACCCCTTGGAAAAGTAAAGTGACTTTTTTTAATAAATGTATAAAAAATAGTGTCTTATGAAACAGTGCTGTACAAGGAGAACGTATAAGCCAGCCACATGCGCACTTGCGTGACAACCAAAGAACCTTCACTAACACTTTTCGACGCCACCAATGTAGGATCATTATTTCAAGTGTCATGCTGACGACATGAGTTCGACGAACTGAGTATTGTATAGAGAAAAAATAATGCCCTAATGTGTTGAGTTATGCGTGTTATAGTACTGGTATTTAACTCGATGGTAACTAAGTATCTTGTAGACGGGGCCGGGAAGACGGGGAAGACGAGGAAGACGGGGCCGCCGTCCTCTCTCGCTACAACCTATTTATTCTGTAGTTGAAATATTCTTAACAACTGCTGTGCTGGAGCCAATGTTTCGACAAGCGAGCTTATCTTCGAGGCGGCATGATAGATAAGTCCGCTACATTGGCTCCAAAGCATCCTGTGTTTAAGAATTATGTATGACAAGCTTCCATCTTCCCTGATTCCATCCTGTTTATTCTGAAGTCAGTGATACTCTGTTTCTTCATGAATAGAGTGAAATATTAGGCTAGAAATACAGAGAAAAATTCGTCTTGTACATGTCAATTTCGAACAAATAAAATTTAAGCGGCATGCCAAGCGGCGGTAAGCGTCATGCCAAGCAATGTAGTTCTTTCAACAAAGCGACTATGGATCCATCTGAACGCCGGAAAGTGATTAAGTCAAGGCTTATGTGTTATGCGAGAGTTTCGATTCATGTCTTGTTCACTGGTTGACACAACTAGCAAGAACACGTGGTGTACACAATTGTGTACAAAAAGTCTACAATGATAAATAACGGTTGGTGACGATATCTGTTGTCTCTTCACGTGTTGCTGTGTGGGTGCGTGCGCACACATTGACACTTCAGCTGGCAGCCTGCACCCCATCAGAGTATTGCTACTACCACGTATTCATCATTATCTGTCTATGTCTACCATTAAGCTGCCTATAAATGCGTTCTACACTTCTGAATAAACGTTCTTTCGTTCTGCTGACTACGTTGGTATTTTGCTGGTCCGGCACTGCTATGTGCACGCCATGGCTATGCTACAATATGACGCAGCAGTTTTAACTGATACAAGTAGTATACTGTCGTGTTCACTGCTTATTTTTGACTGTTTGGTGAAAAACTTCAACGGTGCCTGCGTGTTTCAGCGTACACAAAGAAAAAAAAATTAAGAGTGTTCCACGGTTTCAGTTGGTTGACATAATAAGCATGAGCATGTGAACTATCTTGGATTCGAACGGTATATGTTACATGCACACTATCTAAACAAATGCTGGTTAGAAGATTAGCGCCCATCTCGTACACCGCCTTTCTTTTGTCCAGGTTAGGCAACGTGTTTCAGCAACTCGGTATGCGAATTTAACAACCCACAAATCTTGCCGCATTCGCTACGCCTACGAAACCTTCCTAGCTTAATAATTTGATATTAACCGTTTCGAGGATTCGCGATTTTAAACGCTACGTAAACTTGCCTCTGCGTCCTTTCCTGGCTCATTTCAGGCAGCGTGGGTTGTAACGCTAGTAAATTATCTTTTCCGTCTTAGTGGTCACAATCTCGGGGACGCGCGCCCTCTTTTCTCGCTAATATAGCGTACAACAGATAACTACAAAACGGCATCACCATATCAGTAGCTACTATAAACTGCCAGACTTCATAACCTGTCACAAGTTCAATGCAACAAACGAAAAACCACGCTCGCCGTTTCTGTAGGCCTAGTTTATTAAGCGTAGTTATATATTCTTTGTTTCTTGGCTAAGTATAGTATAGCGTTACATTGCGTTCTAGTATACTTTATTTGAAAAATGCCCAATATGAAAAAAAGCTGCGTGATTTCAGTTCCAACTGTTAAAGACTGGGGTGCTTTCGCGCGTGCTCGGGTTGCGTATATACGTCAGAGAGTATTTCAAGCGAATGGTCGGGCCTCGAACAATAGCCAAAATATCTAGTGTACGATGAAGACAACGTCGAGCTCACTCGACTTGGTGGACAAACCCTGACTTACAACCTTCCTTTGACATGCTAGTGTGTTCGCACTGTGCAACCCACAGCTTCTTGTCTTGAAAGTTTCGACTGGAGCGACCGGCAAAACCTAACCAAACCAGCGACTCTACATTTGCGAGCAATAATAACTGTTAGGTTTTAACATACGAAACTACCATGTTATTAGGATGGATGCCGTAGGGTAGGGCCTCGGAAATTTCGACCTTTCGGGCTTCCTTAACCTGCTATAAGTACACGGGCCTCAAGCAGTTTCGCCTACATTGAAAATGTGGCGGCTGCCGCGAGGATTCGAACCCGCGACCTTGAATTCAGCAGCCGAGCGCCATGACCACTGGATCATATTGTCAGGTTGAATGCCGAGCCTGAAGAAAGAGTGTTAAAAGAAAGAAGGAATCCTTTAACAGGGCAGCACCGAAGAGGCCTTGCGTGTTCATCCACTGTCTCTTGCCCCATGGTCTCGCAACGGTAAATACAGGCATGAAATGACGCTAGCATTGCTCAAAACAAGTGAAAGTAAACTAACAATGTAACCCAATATATAAACTACAGAAATGACCGAGAATCGATCGCAATAATTTACCTACATTTCCGAAAAAAATGCTCTCGAAACATGCGGTTGATAGTGGCGCCGCTAAAGAGAGGTCGCTACCACTTCAGCAAGCGCGCAATCACGAAGGGAATTGCTGGGAAGTCCGTGCTACGCACTTCCCCAGGTTTCACGACAGTGGAACTGCACTTGGCGGAAATATTTACTATACACCAAGACACACACAGGAACGTCATTTCTCTTCTGTTCTTATTTTCAGCATTCATTCATTGTCAATAGTCACCTAGCAGTGAGCCTAGCGTACGTTTATTTTGTCATCCTCTTCTTCACTGGCCACACTGAGAGCCGATTTCTCGAGGGATTGGCTACGCACAGTAGAACACTGTCAAGCGCATGCCCACAAAAACTAAAGAGGTTATGAAAAAATGGCCAGCGGGTCGTTTCTTCACCAAACTGCGTAATATAAAAACGCTCTTCTGCATGACGTTACAAGATCGAAGTTCCAGCATCAGATGAACATGCTCAAACGAAACAATATCGTGTTTTGTTAGATGACAGAAAAATGAAAGGTAATTCATTTGGCTTATTACAAATTGTAATGTAATTTGAGGACATTCATGCAACAACGCCTTCAAACTGTGCGAATTTTTACGAGCCTCCAAGTTTCAATTTAGACCCTCCAAGTATCAGTTGAACAAAGGTTTATGTGAACAAAACATGTTTCAAATCTCGGGAGAAAAATTAATAGCGAGGGTTTTAAGGATCAGTTGGTTCCCCGTGTAGACGGCAGCGCATTGGACAACCGAAGCCTCAGTTGTATAATATAAAAAAAAGATATCCAGAAGGTGAGACTGCAATGGATGACTGTAGTGTAGCGGTTAGTTAAAGTTAACTAAAGTGGCTACCATCCAGATTGAAAAACGCTGCCGATAGTGATCACCATCAAGATTGTAGTTTCCAAAGTGTCTAGCGGGAAATTCGGGGACTTTCCACGACTGTGGAGATGAAAGTCAGTGAAGCCAGTGGCGTCATTGTGTTTTCATGCCCATTGTCACTTCTCTACGCATTGCTGTTCAGTCTATACCAACTATTCGTCATCCGAGTGAACGACACGCCGTCAAAAGGCAACTCCTGATAACCGCGCAAGCAAGATGTCACGAGACAAACAGGCTCGACGATTAGCGGGAGGTAGCCACCGCACAGCATCGCGACACTTGTGAAAGAGTCGTCGATGGTGGTGAGGAGTCGCCTAAAATTGTCAACGCATCCATGATTTGACCGCGGGCGTGCTACGCCAGTAGCTATTCATATGCAATCTGGCAGTGAAATATTGATGGGAACATATTTATGGCGCTGTCACGAAGGCACAACAAAGCTCGATTATTGTACCCTTACCACGATCACTGATAAAAGCAGATATGACGGATAGATAGTTGGAACTGACGTCGATGAGCACGCCATATTAAAGTAGTAACATGGTTTGACCCGAATTTTCCGATGTCACGGTAATGTTATTAGTATACGCGTTGCATGCCGGCCCTCTCGCTTTTCATGCGAACAGGTGTTTGTTTCAAAGCGGCATTCGATGTAGTTATGAACCAGTGTCACAGGTCTCGTTAATTCGGGAGGCGATCGCCGGGCTAAATCCAGGGGCCAAAGTATCGGCCCCCCGAACCGCGCCACAAAAGCGTGGACTATTTAGAAGTGGTCCTTTTTGGCGCGCCAGCGGACGCCGGCTGTGGCCCAAAGAACAAGTCAGAGCCAAGAGTTGATAAACAAAACAAAATTATATTCTCAATAATTGCAGATCAAAAACAATACAGAAGTATGCACACTCCACAATAGTTGAATACAATATGTCACCAATCAAACAACGTACTACACAGTACTATCAGCCACACTCGAAACAACGGACACAGACAACAATATGCACTACAATGCAGTCGCATGTATTGAACAACCAACACACTTAAAGACTAGAGAGATGGAAAACCTATTCAGTCCAAAGTTCTTGGAACAAAAGTCTGGATGATACTCTTCCGAGAATCACTCACTCAAAGTCCAGCGTTGTTGTCGTTCCACTGCCCCCGAAGTTTCTCTTCCAGGAAACCTCGCGTCTTCAATTGGCCGCTCTCCGAGCGTCAAACTTCTTCGCCGGAAACACGTCGGCTTCACACACGCAGCTGTTGCCACGCGTCTACACTCGATAGCGGTAGACACACACTCTTGCCTGTAGCTCGAGCCTTCACTCCTCAGGTGGAAATCCTCTTCTTCTCCTCCTTTGTCACGGAAGACAAAAGGCTTCGCCCACACGGCGGAATACCCTACGCACTCTGGCGCATACTTCTTCTTCTCCTGTTTTGTCACTACGG